GAGGCTGCTATGTGATGACTCGGAGCGCCGTGTGGGAGTTGCGGAAACATTGTCTACATGAAATAATACTGATGGTGAAGGCAGGTTGGGCGTGTTTGGCGATGGCACGTCTGCTGCAGGTTGCTGCGGCGGTCGGCGAGGCTGGACTAGCCGGTCTCCACGAGCATACGGGGATGCTGCTACCGCAGCTGCCGGGGATGCTGGTCGTGAGGCTTCCAAGTCCAGCGACGACGTGTCTGTCAGTAGGTCGATAATGTCGGGCCCGTTTGTCATTTGTGTAGAGAATGTGTGTAAACAAGGAAGAGCGAATGACCAGTCCAGCTGCTTCAGGGTTCCTAATTTCCAGTGCCTTAAACTGCTGATCCAATCCAGTGATTCCTGCACCCAACTATTGGCTTGCGATTTTTTTTTTTTTTTTGATATTTTCCTTGTAGCTACAGCTGCAGATGCGGCAGCCGTAGAGGCGCTGTTTGTCTGCTTCCCTTGTGATATTTTTTTACACATTTACATTCCCAAATGAAGTCCAATGTATGCATGCAGGCAGTTGCCACACCAGTCCGATGACAAGCATAAGCGATAAGCTGTTTAACACATGCACAACCTGTAGTGTCCCAAGCCAGTGGCTAAGATCGACGTGGAAGAGGAAGAGCTCCTTCATGACGATGTCGTCCTGTCGATGGACAGAGTTCTCCGGTTCAAAGACACCAATGGTGGTAACAAGAAGAAGAGAAATAAGAGGAAGGGATCCGCTAATGACGATGAGGTCGTAGACGACTTTGTCGACGCCCTGCTTGGCGATAATGAGGCTGCAGCGGAGAAGAAGCGCGCAAAGAAGGCCAAGAAGGCGCAGAAGAAGCGTGAGAAGGAGGAAAAGGAGCGCAAGGAAAAGGAAATGCAGGATGTCCAGTATAACGACGACGACGTGCAGGATCTGTACGCCTGGGACTCTGATGACGAGGAAGAAAGCTTTGTTGTCCATGACAGCCAGCCAGCATCTTTGGCACCAACAGCAGCAAGGTCTGGCCCAGACAATGAAGGCGAGGATGCCGACGAGATGGAGCGCCGTGCAGAGCGTCAGCGTGCACTGTCCCTGGCGATGCTGGTTGCAGACGAGGTGGAGCAGAATGGAAACGACGATTTGCCGCGTGATGCCAACGACTGGTTCGACAAGCTGGAGGAAGATGCCAACGACAGCCGTGCTGCCAAGAGCCGGAATAGCACCAAGCTCATAAAGGCAGATGGTGCGGATGAGGAAGGGGAAGAGGACGATGGAGATCTGCCCACAGATATCGTCAAGGCGCGCGGCTCTGATACACCTGCCTCGTCGAAGCCTGCCCGACCCGCGGTATCGAAAGAGAAGCGCGAGGCAATCGGCCGGTATCTAGCTGTGGACTGCGAGATGGTCGGTGCTGGCTTCAAGGGCTGTCGGTCCATGTTGGCCCGTGTATCGATTGTTAACTATTATGGCCATGTCATCATGGACATGTTTGTCAAGCCGCAGGAACCAGTCACCGACTACCGCACATGGGTGTCGGGAATTCGCAAGTCAGACCTGACTAACGGCGCAAAGTTCAAGGACGTGCAGCAGCAGGTCGCCGACCTGTTCAAGGACAGGGTTGTTATTGGCCATGCGCTACAGAACGACCTGCGTGCCCTCATGCTGACCCACCCGCCGCTGATGGTGCGGGACACAGTCAAGTACAAGGGCTTCCGCAAGCTCAACAACGGCAGCGCGCCTTCGTTGCGCAAATTAGCCGCGTCGGTGCTCAACATCAACATCCAGGAGGGCGAGCACTCATCTGTGACAGACGCAAAGACTACGATGCTGCTCTACCGCAAGGTCAAGGACGAGTGGGAGAAGGAATTGCATCCAAAGCGGTACAAGGTGCAGATTAAGAAAGCCAGGACCAAGGAGCGCTTTGAGCAGCTGCGGCGCGAGAGGAAGGAGCAGCAGTCTCGCTAGTGAATAATTTCGGCTTGTCAAATGCACATGCAGTCTCCACCAGCGATTTGGACAAGGATGGACATGCAGCGTGTGTACCGCAGTGCATGGCCCAAGCGATGCATGGAGCTGCTGCGGTTTCCGACAATAATATCCTGCGCGTGTGCTGCGGAAAAGCTGCAGGTGGAGCCTGGCAGCTGCATAATTCCTCTCCCCGGCGCTATACTGCCATGCAGTATACATCTGGTACTTGTCTTGGCAAAGGCAAAAGCCAAGAAAGCTGTCAAAATGTGTGCCAAGTGCTTTGTAGACTGGGTTTATTTTTTTCTTTTTTCAAGAGAACGTGAAGAATAAGAGGATAGAAAGAAATAGACGGAAAAGAAAGAGCGCTTGTCGACTTGTAGTAGATCTAGAGATTGGATGTTTTTTTGTTTTTACAAATTATAGATACAGATCTGTGCAGGAATTGCTGAGCACACAGAGTAATTATAGTACAACGAATGGAGTGAGTGTACAGGAAAGGGAGAGCTGGAATCCCTAAGCTGATCCACACGACCATCGAGGAGAGGAAGGGAGGAACTGGGTCCGCCTGAGCCTTCCTGTAGAACCTGTACACGAGGGTATCCTCAACAGTAGTGGCTGATACCGGAGTCATCGGTGATTCTGCAATTGCTGCCTATCTACAAGTCGTCAAGGTCGGGGAAGAAGTGCTCTGCCCGGACGTGCTCGCTGGCCTGGTGCACGGTGTTGAAGTAGGCACCGCAGATGTTGCACGAGTAGTTGTAGAGCCGGAACACGCCGAAGTTGCCCTTGTAGGGGAGCTGGTGCTGGAACTGGAAGTCGCACATTGTGGTTGTTTTCAAAGGGTCAAGATGAATTGCAAAAAGGGTTCTGTAAGGGATTGGATAATAAAACAGTTGTTGTGAAGAAGAAGTGTGGATGAAGGATTTTGCGCAGACGACCCGCCGACAGGAGGTTTTATAGCAAGTTTGCAATAAGCAGTGTCTCTTGGATAAACTGAGCGTGAAACAAAATGGTGGAAAATCATTGCAACCTATTTCTGGAATGTGCGTTCCCTGCCTCTCACCAGTGAGATGCATGACCTGGCACAAAAGAGAATATGCACGTCGTGGCCGCTGGCCAAGATACAGGTCAGCCATCCTTGGCACATCATCCGGGGGATGGATAAACTGTATGTACAAAAAATAAAAGTTGAGGGCTGCGGCAATAACCCTGATAGCAGCCGGGACGCTAACTGCCTGCGGCCACCATGTAATTTCCTGCACTGTATCTCTTTGTGGGAGACCCGGGGAGGGCGACAACCAAACATTATCCCAAGCGCGTTGATTTTTTTTCCTGTTTTCTACGTGTATTCCTTCCTCACCTCTCCTATTTCTGTCCGTAGACATGTGCCAAGCGTGATGCCGCCTCATCTCCTATACTCCAACCTTCCGCCTGCCATTGGGGAGGTCGGTGCAAGAATTCCGACGTGGCACATATCAGGTGTCGCCAAGTAATCGTGCATAATGTGCAGCACCCGGCATGCATTTGCAAACGTGTGCCCCTCAGAAGCATGACTAATAACTTCTTTTTAGTGTTCTTTCTGGGCCTTTGCCCAACAAATCCAAGCGGCAGGACTGTGTTCATGGCGCGCTCCTCCCCTGTTCGCTACTTGTTTTTTCCTGGGAGCAGGGAAATCGACTGAGAATCACTCATTTATTTTTATCAGCGCTTTTCATTCCCTTTCGCTCGCCAGTGGATCGGCATGGGGCTGCCCGGAGCGGCCGCTGTTATCCGCTTAATCTGTATGCATGCGAGCATTGAGGGTTCGGTAACAACTGCGAGCAAGGGGTTGCTCGGCATCTCTCCGTCTTTACTGCCAAGGGAGGCGCTTAGCGGCATATCCTGTCAACTGCCCTCAGCATGCAGCACACGGACACACAATAGCGAGTTGCTAGCGCGTTTGGGGTAAGCCATCGTGACTTCTTCGTTCCGAGATGCCGTGCCAAGGTGAGGGAAGGCGCATGCTCCCGCATCTTCAGGCAGTGAGGTCAGGTGGCACGAAAGGCAAAGAAAAATGCAAAGGCAGATGCGCTGATTTCCTTGAATCTGACAAATATCTTCAAGTAACCCTTGATTTCCTGATGGTGCCCAGACTTTGGCCGCAGCAAACGGCACTCAGCTTGCCCTTTCTACCTACTCGCGGATATCAGCGGTGTGTACATGATCGTGCACAGACACAGCTGCGTTTTGAAAGATGGGTCGAATTGACAACTGTGTGGGTGGGTGTGACTGCTTGGAGTAAAAAGCAATTACGCACTTGTTTCAGAGGCAGTAATCGAAGTTTCTGTCAAGAACCATTCGCTCGGATTTATTAAAGCCGCTTTCACACATGTAGCGCTAGCCTTGGCAGGCGTGTCTTTTCGTCCCGGCTGCTTTTCACCAACCATTCATTGCAAAGTAGCACCTGCTTTCTATTCCTCGGAAGCGGGATATGAAGCCATGTGGCTCTCAATTGGGCCGGTGTCTACCGATATGGATTCTCTTTCTGCTCAGCACGCACACTGATAGCTTGATAAATAACAACGGCATACGGGTTTTCAATCCACACTAGCAGTGATGATGGTGTAATGAGCTAAACGTCAATAAAGCATTCGTGAAGTATTGGCCAAATAAATGGAATGGATTACAGATTCATAAAGCCAGATATGTTACTTAGTAGTAAGGAGCAATGGTTGATGCAGCATAGGCAGGCGCGGTATTGTAGATAGGCGCCGAGCTAGCCTGGTAGATCGGGGTCGAGGTCGCCGGCTTGGTCTGGTACACAGGGGTCGATGGCTTCGAGACAATGGTGGACTCGACATGAGTCGACTTGCCCTCAGTACAACTGCTGGTGCTGGTAGACTGATACACAGGAGTCGAGGGGGGTCGGCTTGGTATGGTAGGCAGGGGTGGTCTTGGTCTCGTAGACAGGAGTCGACTTGGTATGGTAGACAGGAGTCGACTTGGTCTCGTAAACAGGGGTCGATGGCTTGGAGACAATGGTGGACTCAACATGCGAGGTGTGGTACACAGGGGTCGAGGGAGTCGGCTTGGTGTGGTAGACAGGAGTGGTCTTAGTCTCATAGACAGGCTTGGACTTGGTGTGGTACACCGGAGTCGACTTGGTCTCGTAAACAGGCTTGGACTTAGTGTGGTACACCGGAGTAGTCTTGGTCTCATAGACAGGCTTGGACTTGGTGTGATAGACAGGAGTCGACTTGGTCTCGTAGACAGGGGTCGATGGCTTCGAGACAATGGTGGACTCAACATGCGAAGTGTGGTACACAGGGGTCGAGGGAGTCGGCTTAGTGTGGTAGACAGGGGTAGTCTTAGTCTCGTAGACAGGGGTTGACTTGGTATGGTATACAGGGGTCGACTTGGTCTCGTAAACAGGCTTGGACTTAGTGTGGTACACCGGAGTGGTCTTGGTCTCGTAGACAGGGGTCGATGGCTTCGAGACAATGGTGGACTCAACATGCGAGGTATGGTACACAGGGGTCGAGGGAGTCGGCTTGGTGTGGTAGACAGGAGTGGTCTTAGTCTCATAGACAGGCTTGGACTTGGTGTGGTACACCGGAGTCGACTTGGTGTGATAGACAGGAGTCGACGGCTTGGAGACAATGGTGGACTCAACATGCGAAGTGTGGTACACAAGGGTCGAGGGAGTCGGCTTAGTGTGGTAGACAGGAGTGGTCTTGGTCTCATAGACAGGCTTGGACTTGGTGTGGTACACCGGAGTAGTCCTTGGTCTCATAGACAGGCTTGGACTTGGTGTGATAGACAGGAGTCGACTTGGTCTCGTAGACAGGGGTCGACGGCTTGGAGACAATGGTGGACTCAACATGCGAGGTGTGGTACACAGGGGTCGAGGGAGTCAGCTTAGTGTGGTAGACAGGAGTGGTCTTGGTCTCATAGACAGGCTTGGACTTGGTGTGGTACACCGGAGTAGTCTTGGTCTCATAGACAGGCTTGGACTTGGTGTGATAGACAGGAGTCGACTTGGTCTCGTAGACAGGGGTCGATGGCTTTGAGACAATGGTGGACTCAACATGCGAAGTGTGGTACACAGGGGTCGAGGGAGTCGGCTTAGTGTGGTAGACAGGGGTCGACTTGGTGTGGTACACAGGGGTCGAAGGAGTCGGCTTGGTGTGGTACACAGGGGTCGACGGCTTGGAGACAATGGTGGACTCAACATGCGAGGTGTGGTACACAGGGGTCGAGGGAGTCGGCTTAGTGTGGTATACAGGGGTAGTCTTGGTCTCATAGACAGGCTTGGACTTGGTGTGGTACACCGGAGTAGTCTTGGTCTCATAGACAGGCTTCGACTTGGTGTGATAGACAGGCTTGGACTTGGTCTCATAAACAGGAGTCGACGGCTTGGAGACAATGGTGGACTCAACATGCGAGGTATGGTACACAGGGGTCGAGGGAGTCGGCTTGGTGTGGTAGGCAGGGGTGGTCTTGGTCTCGTAAGCAGGCTTCGACTTGGTGTGGTACACAGGGGTCGAGGGAGTCGGCTTGGTGTGATAGGCAGGAGTCGACTTGGTGTGATACACAGGGGTCGAGGGCTTCGAGACAATGGTGGACTCAACATGCGAGGTGTGGTATGCCGGCGTCGAAGTGGCAGCCGGTGTCGTCTCATAAGGATGATCAACAGTGACATACACTGTCTTCGTTTCGTAAATCGTGGTGCCAGGTGCGCATTCGCTCTGGGCGGCCGAATAGACAGGCGGCACAGCAGAGTAGAGGCCAGCGGCAGCTGAGGCAACGAGTGAGGTAAGGGCAAGGTTGTTCAGATGCATTTTCGTAGAATGGCTTGGCGGGCTGTTTATGCTATCGAATGTGAGCGCTGAAAGCCGAGGTGTTTGCGAGGAAGTCTGCAACTAAGGAATATGATGGTGCTGAGGAAAGGTATATACGAAGACGTATTGGAGGACCAAGACGAGGAGGGAGAGAATAAGGGGCAGTAGGCTTGCTGAGTAATCCTGCTCTTGTCGGCTACGGGCCTCGCATTATATAGGGCCCAAGCTGCTTCACACAAGTTTTGCCCATTTCAAGGAATCTTGCAGTCCTAAGAATATGGACGATCCCACGACTGATCAGGTTTGTGGGCTCACCAAAAATGTAGAACTATTCTAAATATACAACAGGGCTATCTCGAACTTCCATTGTCGAATAAGGGACGGGGATGTGTATGCTTCTCACTGACTGTGGACATGAAGTAAATTGACCGAAGGAGCAGATGGAACAAGCGGAACTACCCCTCGTCTGCACAGCAATTTTGCCTGTCCTGAAAGCATTGACTCAGCAGCGGAATTGCCACGGATTTGGCTCCTCATTTCTCTCGCGCAAATCAAAATAGCAGGAAACTAAAAAGGAACAAGAGTTGGGGCCCGGTTCTCGGTGCTTACGATACGTGCCTCTCCATTGATCCGCCTTTTTACAGAGCACATCAGCTCGCTGCACTTCCCTTCGCACAATTGCGAATCCCATTGTAAAAATAGACCTGTTGAAATGCTGGCCGGAGGTTGCATATGCAGGCGCAAGAGATGGACATTGGCCATTTTTCTTTGCAACGTTGCAGGCCGTTTTTCCCAAAAAAAAAAAAAAAAAAAAAAAAACCATAGCGATGTGCCGCTGAAGCGGAAGAGAAAGATGATGTGTGAGCAGGCGTAGGTGTATCTATTGATGCACCAACGGGCAAATTATCTTGCGCATTGATTTGTTTGTTTACTTTGCACGTCATTCCGCCACAGTAAGCGAGAGCGACTGGGCTGCGCATCGGCTAGTTTCATAGCATTGATTTTTTTATAGCCATTTGCTGCGATTGCTATCTTTTCGCGGTCTGGGTCGGGTCTGGCAGTCTGGCCTCAGGCCAAGAGTGCAGATCATATATGCTGGCCTTTCATATATCCTCGCATTTCTCGTCATTGGCCACCTTTAAACTTTCGCCTGTATTGCACGATGGACGTGGCCACATTTAACAAACCGAATCTGGGCCGAGTAATTGCACAATACACCGATGGCGAATGATTAGGTTAGATGGCGAATAGTTGTACAAGATTGTGGCGAGCACCGAAAATCTTGGCTATGTATGTCACCGTATTTGTAAACACTCCACGCTGGATCCTAATGCAGCACTGTGAGAATTCGGGAGAGCCGAATTAGCAAAGCTCCCATTTTCAGGTTACGTTTTCATCACTGGTGTATCACCTCCAAAGTTTTGGACAGCTGGAAATGCGGCCGAGATAGCCCTATTAGCCGGCATTTCCGCTCCACGCCAACGTAGTACTTTGACATCATGGTGGCAGGCGAGAAGTAGCATCCCAGACAGACAGCGCATCAGACGACACAAATAGGTCACACATGGATCGGCGTGCCGCTGGATCCGTGGCCGTCCGTGATGTTTGTTTGCCCAACATTTTTTCTGTCCTGAAAAGATGCGGGGATTTGCTGTTAAATAATGGAAGCTGAGATAATTATAGAATGCCATATGGTGCGAATTACAGGAACACAAGATGTCCTTAAAAAGATATGGCCATGGATTGCTGGAGAGAGAATAAGGCAGGTTGTTTTGCATGGTAAGTGAAACCACGCTGCAGCAGCATGATCTGCACACGTACGCTACGTATGATGAAAATAGATTCAGCCTTCCGCGAAGCACTTTTGGAAGAACAGAAGCCTCCATTCTTCGAAAGTGACACTACAAAATCGCTGCATATGCGGCCAACAGACTTTATTTTTGAAATGGAAAAAGGTTGTGGTATCGCAATTACATTTTTGTGCCCTGGTAAAAACCAACTGTCACAATCCGAAGCACGCAAAGAGCATGTGGAACTTCCGTTCTGCTTCTGTGCGAATGACACAGGTGCAGTCTGGGCACAGGAGCTCTCCATATCCGATTCCCCGTCCCCTTTCGCACACTGTTGTTGAATATGAAGTAATGAGCGCTGGGCGACATGCTGGATGGATGTAGACACCAGGCTTGAGTTGCTGAGCTTTAGACATGAGTTGTATCGTCAGGAGTTTCAAAGCAAAGGGCCGGCTGTTGAAATATAGAGGATGGAGCCGTTTGATCGAGGGCCGCAACAACCAGAATTTAAATATGCTAAGAAAGCGGCAAGGTGGGTAGCATCCAAGCTATCGACCCAACAGCGACACAATAGCAGAGTCCATTACCACTTTGTGTGCCAACTGGCAACATTGTTTGGTGATAGCCAAGAATGATACACCTGCTGTCAATATCAAGCACAATGTTGCCGGTTGCCACAGAGTATAGCGGGCCATCAGATCATTGCCTTATATTCTTTTTTTCAGCATCACTATTCGGATATATTCATCGACAGACACCACAAAGACGGCACCTGATATCACTAGCAATAGTACTTCAGGTGGACTTCCAGGAGTACAACTGATTGGAACTTACTGCCACAGTACGGGCATAGGTACACGTTATAGGTGCGACCGACAGGTGCTACGGGGGCTATATACATTTTAACCTAGTGCCAATTGCTGTAGAGGCAGTATGTACAAAAAAGTGAAAGAGGGGAGGTGAATACAAGAAGAAAGAGTGTCAGCCACCTTGTCCTCTTGTCCCGCAGCTGGCTTCAAGAGTTTTCCGTTCTTTAGGGCCACTGCATCGGAAAGTAGGGAGCAGCACAAGCACATATGCACAGAAACAATTGACCTGCATAGACATGCTCCGGCCACTCCAAGAATGTGTGGGTAAATGTTTTTCAATTGCGCTACTTGGTAAAGTGGCTAGGCGGCATACGACTCGAACGAGACGGGCAAGACGCTTGGTCTCGGAAACATAGTCAACGGGGCTCATGCTCATTACGGTGAAGCGCACACGCGTGTTGTCATTGAAGGTCTCGTTCTTGGCGCGGCAGCGGAACGTGAACTCCTTGAACGTGGCCTCGTCGATCTTCTTCTGGAACATCGGGTCGCCCATCTCCTGCCACTGCATCATGTCGTTGGCAGTGCAGCCCAGCAGCTGCTCGCCGATGTCGTTGAAGCACTGCAGCCAGTTCTGGCCGGTCTCGTCGCTGACATTGATGGAGAAGATGAAGCGGTGGTTGGGCGCCGGGAACGACTTCTGGCACTTCTCGCAGCGCCACTGCCCAGTTGACGGGTCCTCGATAACCTTCTTGTTGCAGCCGGGGGTCGAGCACGCCGGGTACGCGATGGTCGTGTTGCGCACAAACACAACAGTGCCCTTCAGGTTATAGTACTTTTGCTCGTCGCCCAGGCCCGCCGTATC